TGATATCACTTTGACCCGAAAAACGTCACCGAGGGGATTTTGACCCGGTATTGACAAAAATGTGACTTTTGAAATTTTCCCTCAAAAGTTTTGTAATATCAATAGAAGCTTAGAAATGAACTTTTTGAAATGATTCTCACAGTTGCCTATAGCAAAACACTCAAATAAATTTGTGGCATCACTGTGATGTTACTTTGACGTCACAATTATGTTGAAGATAATTTACATCAGATACACATTTTTCTCGGTATTCCATCGCTTTCTACGTGTTATTTGATCTTACAAATAAGCTACCCAACGTCTCGAAGAGGAAATAGTTTATGTGAAATGAAATATTTTTAAATTTGGCGCTTCCGTGACAATGTAGTTCAAATGCTGGCTGTTAAGTTCTCCAGCGAAATTTTAGGCTCGGAATATTGAGCTTTCTGTGAGTTTTAATTTACAAAATATTTTGAAGTTTCCAATTTAAAACACTATGATGTATTGAAAATTAGGATTGCCGGCATTAGGTTGCGCGTGTGACTAGAGAGTAGTCTGGCCGCCGGTTTGTTTACGTTCCGAACATTGCCGTAAAAAGTACAAAAAAAAAGTTATTGCCCTGCTTGAAGAATGGATCCAAGTAAGCCAGTAAGTATTGCAGTTTTTAAAATATTGATCCATCGTCTTTCCTTCTCTAATTGTGGAACACCATTTTGGAGAATTCTCTTATGCTAGTAAAGTTTGACGTAATGAAAGACACATGTGTTAGTTTGAGGTTAACAGAAGACATATCTCCATATCTCTCCCTCCAATCCTTTCATTTGAAGTTAATTTATAAAATAAAAAATCAGTCCATAAAATTTGAAGCTTGCATGTTTTCGATGTATGCATATCTTTTTGTTGCCAGGCTAAAAGAAAACGCCAACGTCGCGCCAGAGCCGGAGTAAATCGAGCTCTCGAACTTGCTAACTATTCAGACAATGACAGTGAACATGATCCTGAAAGTGGAGATGAGGAACATGAGAGGGATGATAACGGACATATCGATGACAATATAATTGATGGTGATAATGGAAATAATATTGACAGTGACAACAACATGGACCATGATGAAAACGTCATTGACAACTTGGTCGATGAAATTAATGTTGACAACCCAAATAACATGGAACATGAAATAAATGCTGACAATGAAATTGACAACAACAATAATACTGACATTGATAGAGAATCTTTTGATGACAATAATGAAAATGAGGGCTCTGATGATGAACGAAACAATTTGATTGACAACGAAGGAGGGAGAGATGATTCTGAGGATGAGTCCGACCAAGATGACAGATTCCTCTTTGAAGAAATAATTGCTGAGGCAAATGTGGAACTAAACAATGGGAACCATGAGGACTATTTACTTAGGGTTTTAAAAGAGTGGGCAAGGAGGGGGGTTTCTTTCAAGAAAATTGACAGCTTACTCAAATTACTCCACCCTCTGCATCCTTATTTACCCCTTACTCACAATACTCTTCTAGGAACACCACATCATGATGGCAATCTGCCACCTCTTGGCAATGGGAAATTCTGGTACAAGGGAATCCTAAAAAATCTCGAACAAAGGCTTACCCCAGAGTATTTATTAGAACATAATGAAATAGTTCTGGATATTAACATTGATGGCTTGTCCCCTTTTAAAAGCACTCGAGATGAGATTTGGCCAATATTAGGGAAATTAAAGGATACGAAGGAACCATTCATCATTGCTGCGTATTTTGGTAAAGGAAAGCCAAACAGTCTTGAAGAATTTTTGCATGAATATGTGGAAGAAGCACAAGATTTGACTGCCAATGGAATCCAAATTTTTGCCAACTATTATAATGTTGTCATTAGGAACTATATTCTTGATGCTCCTGCTCGAGCCTTTGTGAAGTGTATTGCATCTCACAATAGTATGTTCTCTTGTGAAAAGTGTGAAACTCAATCAGTGTACGTCAATCACACTCAGACTTATCCTGATCTAAATGCCCAATTACGGACTGATAACTCTTTCCAAAATAGGAGAAATGCCTTACACCATGAAGGAGACTCACCTCTAGAACGCATACCAACAGGGATGATTTCTAGTTTTCGTCTTGATAGTTTACATTTAGTTCATGCCGGAGTAATGAAGAAATGGCTGATGTTCACAATAGGAAGGCAAAGGCGTAGAGGAATCCTAAATGATGAGCAAGTTACTCACACAGAAGATGTGATAAACAATATTTCTGCACATGTCCCCAGAGATTTTAACAGAAGGCCACGATTGTTTCAACTGCTGGCAAAATTTCATGCCACAGAGTTTCGAAGAATTCTTCTCTATGATGGTTTAGTTCTGTTTAAGGATATCAATGCAGATCTGTGGAAAAGTTTTAAACTTCTCCATGCTTCAATGTATATTTTGTCAAGCCCTTCATTATGTAGACGTGAGGAACTGCTCAATGTGGCTCATCTCCTCACTAGACGCTTTGTACAGCATTCCATTGTGCATTTGGGGAGGCATTTTCCTTCTTACAATGTACATGCTCTCCCCCATCTTATTGATGAGTGTAGACAAAATGGTCCATTAGATGACTTTAGTGCATATCCATATGAAAATTATTTAGGTGTCATTAAAAGTCTCCTTCGATCTAAATATAAGCCCCTTGAGCAATTAGTTAACAGGGATACAGAAAGAAAAGGGTACCTGATGGAGCCTCAACCAGATATTCAGGCTGGAAATGTTACTTTAATGCACCCGCAAACAGTTGATCCTGATGAAGAAGTTAGAGGTAGACAATATACCAAAATTGTGTTGGGGAGTACGTTTTTGGAAATCTCTGAAGGTGATAATTGTTTTAAATGTAAAAATGGGCACATACTCTTACTAAAAATATTATCTATACTACCAGAAGAGAAATTAAATTTGTTGGACAACGATTCCACGAACTGGCAGACTATTGTGAATTCCCACTACATTCTTCCAATCTGGGTGTGTTTAAAGTATCTCATATTGGCAATGAAAAAATCTATATTGACATTGGAGACTTCTTAGAAAAATGTGTTTTGTTGCCTTGTGGATTAGAGGAGTATGTGGCTGTACCACTTCTCCATTCCCAAAATCAGA